GGTAGCAAAATCAACAGCCGCAGTCTGCAAGGTAGATTTACATTTGATGAAAAATGCAGGGCCGTGGTGAATATTTTGTTCAAAGGGAGAGGAAAATTTAAGTCCTCTCTGCATGAGAAATTAGGCTATGCAATAGCATTTTTTTAACAGAGAAAAAATGATTTTAATTTCATAGAAACCTTTAAGTACATGGGTACTCACAGATAAAATGAATTAGTTAATGAGACTATTGCTACTCGGCATTTTTCTCAGCTACTGTTTTCTCGGGTCTAAAATGGGAGTAGCCTTAAATGAGTTCCAAATTTCTTTCGTGGTACACATTAGAAGAATCTGTACCCTGGGACCACCGCACAATTAGTATGTAAGACTGGATAGCAAGAGTGCAGGGAAGGTTTTTGAGAGGGGGTGCTTTTTGTTTATGCCATCATTAGGTGTGCAAACTCATGATACTAAATGTAGTTAATAGACCGTGAAAAAGATGAGTTTCTGTCGCGAGCTTGAAACAAAGACAGCAATCTAACTATGAGTCCTTCAGGGCACATCCATCTTCAATCAGTGCTCACAGGGAAAGAAAGATTAATTTTGCCTGTGGAGAAAATCTTGCCTGAATTAGACGTTAAAGGGTAGTAGCTAAAAACTGTGGGCCCATCCCTTATCGTCAAAATGCAGCACTCTATGGTTTACAAACTATTGTAAATTTAGGAAAATGTCTTTGTCATGTATGCTGCTAACACTTTTATTATGTACATACACATCTGTCATATAAACTGAATGGAAAAAATTCTACTGTGCCTATAAAAAGAAAGGATATATTATAAACAGGAATTCTGTCATTCCTTTGAGGAAAGCTTTTTTATTATGTATAAGATTTGTGACTTTTGTTCCGGGGAGATAGTCATGAATAAGGTGGACATTCTACCTGTCCTTGAGAAACTTCATCCGAGTAGGAAAGGCAGGTGATGATGATAGTGTGATTAATGTTTTGACTTAGCTCTTTGGTAGTGTTAAGAGTTAGGGAAGAAAAGAGTAAAGATAACCGCATATACAAATGTGGGGTTATTAGAGGGGCGGGAAGGAGGAGACTTGATCAAACTTAGGAGGGGTGAAGTAATTTGGTTGCTGTGGGACGGGTGATGAGACACAAGGATGGGGAAACATTCTGGAACTGATTACCAGAAACCTTCCAGGGAAAGGATGGTGTTTGAAGTTTACCCGACAGCCCCTTCACCTCTCCCACCACCTCCAACCCCCCCCCACCATGGAAAAGAGGTGGTTTAGAGACACCCCTCAGATTGCTGGGGCTGAAACAAGCTGTGAAGTCCAGGAGGGCGTCCGCACGGGAAGTTAAGGAGCTAAGTCCTAACAATGCTGTCAGAATACTAGGATACCTTTGAAAATGTCTTTTTAAGATGTAACTTGAATGGGCCCAACCTAGGGATGTGTGGCACACCTCCTGGGTGAAGGACTCAAATACAACTCAGATTTTACCTAAAAAACGAGAACAATTTAGCTTGATTGCCCGTACCCTTATGTTAATCTGAAACAAACAAAAAGATTTGTGACTTTGAAAAAAGTTCCTAAAGGTAGCCTCTGATATTAAGTAATTAATTTTATTGAGTATCATAAAGGTGTGGTAACTATTATTTTTAAACTATTGGTTATGGATAGTGACATATGTATGGGTGAAATATCCATGCTGTCTAGAATCTGCTTTAAAATACTCCAAAAATAAAATGTGGGAGTGGAGGGAAGGTGGAGGCATTAAGAGTGGCCACAGGGTCAGTCAGTGTTGAAACTAAGTTCATTTTTCTCTTTTGGGTATGTTGGACAATTTACAAAATGAAAAGCTGAAAAGACAGAGGGCAACTGAGATGCCAAAGAAATTCATTGTTGAAGTGTTCCCTATCTCTAAAACTATGTTTCAACGCTTGCGTCCTTGGCCTTCACACCCAGGACAGTAGGAAAGGAAGAGAGAAGGATGTGTGGGAGCGACTTTGTGGTGGGGAGGTGCAGACCCAGGAAAGGAGCAAGGAGCCGCCAGACCAGACCGTGGTGGGCCTCTCGGCTCCGACAGTTCCTAGCCATGCAATTTGGGGCTAAAATTAGTTAACACCAAGGTTCTGTTGTAATGGGGGTAATAACCTGGCTCCGAAAGGCAGCTGTGATGATTATATGAGGTAGGTATAACGCCTAGCACACGGTGTGACTCAAAAAATCTTATTTATTTTTATCTGGAGGCAACAATAGGCTATCATGTTCCGGATACTATTTTTCTTTTACTAACGTCAAATTCTTGATACACGATGTCCACCTTACAAGTCACTATTCCTACAGTCTCCTGTGCTCCAAGAAGCTGCTCACCATTTCCCAGGCACACTGTGTGTTTTATGCCTCCCTGCCTCTTCATTCTGCTTAGAACACTAGCTGCCGAGTGAATCATTATTCGGCCTCTGTCAGCTCACACTGTACATCTTACAGCCCATGAAGAATGAGCGCCTATGTCTTCTAAGGTCTCTGCTTAATTCTTCTGTGTAACTCTAACAGACTTCTTTCACAGTGTAATTCAATTACGTGTAGTTATCACCCCTCTCTGTTCACTTCTCCAACCTCTACTAGGAACTCTTCAAGGTTAAAGGCATTGTCTTCTATATCTTTGTGTCTCCTGCTTAGAAGAACACCCTTCCCAGAGCTGGATTTGGGGCAGCTTCTGGTGCAGTGTTCAGGCCCTTGTGAAATCCTCTTTTCTTGAGTGTGAATCGGGCCTAGTTGCTCAGTTTGGACGAATAGAATGGGGCAAAAGTGATAAGTTATCACTTCTGAGATCAGATTACAAAAAGCTGGGTACGGTGCCTCACGCCTGTAATCCTAGCACTCGGAGAGGCTAAGACAGGTGGATTCCTTGAGCTCACAAGTTCGAGACCAGCCTGAGAAAGACTGAGACCACTACCCCAACCCCTGTCTCTAAAAACACAGCCAAGCATTGTGGCGGCTGCCTGTCATCCTAGCTACTAGGGAAGCTGAGACAAGAGGATCACTTGAGCCTTAGAGTTTGAGGTTGCTGTGAGCTATGACACCACAGAACTCTACTGAGGGCAACAAAGTGAGACTGTCTGAAAACAACAACAACAAAACCCCCCGAAAAGCTGGTACTTCCACCTTGCTGGAACTCTTTTCCTTTCTTGTATCCTCGCTCTGAGACTCTGTTTGGAGAGCTCCATGTGACGAGGAACTAAGAGTGTCCTCCAGCCAGGATGTCCCAAGAACCAAGGCCTCAGTCCAACAGCCCTCCGAGAGCTGAATCCTGCTATCAACCACGTGAGTGCCCCAGAAGCATGTCCTTCCCGAGGGCCCTTGGGACAAGTGAGCCTGAATGACCCAGATCCAGGGGGCATGGCTTAGCTGGGCATTCTGCCCACAGAAACTGTGAGATAATCAATGTTATGGTATTAAGACAGTAAGATTTGGAGTATTTTTTTCTTAATGCAACAACAGGTAACTAGGTCAATGTGCAACTTTTTTTGTTTAAAAACTTGGATTTACAGTTTTAAGAAGATTGGTGCCTGGTACTAAGAGAAAGAGCCTTTTTCCGGAGTAGTTTGTAATAGTACCACTGCAGGGCAAGTCTGGCTACACAAAAATGCACAGATCCTAGTATGAAAAGGAATTCTTTGGACTCAAATGAAGTAACATCCTAGCAAGAGAGAGGGAGGAGCTTGGTAGTTGCATATTTAGTTATTCTCTTTCCCTACCCTTCTACACACACACACACACACACACACACATACCCACACCCCCAAAACACACTTTTTTCTTTGTTTTTTTTAAAGAGATAGGGTCTTAATACTCTGTCACCTAGGCTGGAGTACAATAGAGTGACTGTAGCTCACGGCAACCTCTAATTTCTGGGCACCAGGGATCCTCTCACCTCAACCTTCCTGGCAGGTAGGCCTCCTGATTTTTTCCCCCCTTTCCCGGTTATTTTTTTTTTATTATTATTATTTTGTGTAGAGTTGGGTCTCACTGTATTGCCCAATCTAATCTCTGACACCTGTCTTGAGGTGATCCTCCCACTCCACCCCCGATTCCACACTGCTATGAAGTTAGGCATACCAATATGAATAGTTCCAGCCAGTCAACTACAAACAAAAGTGGTGGGTGGGTATCATTTCCAGGTTGAAGCATTTAATCACTGCTGCAAGATGCTCGGGAGTTCCCCCCTCTTACTCTGGAAATTTTAGAGAAACGATTATGATCTAAAGGTCTACAAGGTCATAGTTACCTGATTTGCTGAGGTCACTTAAGGAGAAAAGTTGTATTAGATGGTCCCACAGACAAGAATTACATTTTAATTGTCACAGCCTGTTCAGGTTAGCTGTGGCTACATAGACCAACAAAAGGCATCTTACTTGGTTTTGGGGGTTAACAAGCTCAACT